CTGATGGAAACCTGACACTCACCATGCACGGCAACAGCTGCGTGCCAAAGCAAGTCGCTGTTGGACTGACGAAAGCGTCTAACTCACCACTTGAATGCCCGCATAATATACTGGTGGGCACTAAAATGCGGTTTGAATGCTCTGGGTGGTAAGTGTCAAAAGAGCGTCTATTTAATGCAACGTGACCTGTAAGTTCAAAGAAAGCAACCAATTTTTAGGTCCTATCGTAGTTCTCCACTACAATTCAAATGGTAATGTGGCCAAAAATGAATGCAAACTTCTCTCACCTAACGACACCTGACAGCGTGTCTCGATCCATCTTCAATCTTTGGTGTCGAGTTATTTTGTACTGACACTATCGCATCAAAACATCTGGCCTCATCCATTTCAATTTTGATCTAAACAGATTGTGATCAGGCAACTGTCTGACACGACGTTCCCGAGTTTGGTCAAAAGTAGTACTGTGATCGTACTATCATATTACTACCTGTTCATGCACCCCCAGTTTATCCGAGTTGATTTGAACGTTAATTATGTTGAAATAATCAACCACTCAATCATTTTGCAGTTATTCTGTAATTTCAAGCAATGGTTTCTTCATCGGTCAGATACCATCGGATCAAAACTTTCATTACAATATTAGCCGTAACGCCAAAATCGAGATATATCATGGTGGGGAGATTCATGTGGCTATTAATTGACACTCAATGAATGTGGATAGAAAAATCTACAAGAATTTACTGCTAGTTAAAATTACTAGGAAGTCCTCATATATTAAGGTGCACCTTATTTGGCGTCGATGGCTGTTGGTGTTGACAAGAGTAACCAAGTTGTTGATTGGACTGACATTTAACGCGGCAAAAAAATTACGTCAGAGGAAAGAAACTTTTCATGCTCAATGGATGGAGGATGAACTGTGCAGATGGCCACTTTGCATCCCTGGAAGCTTCAAACGTCCGATTGTCTGAACACATTTTGATTTTTCTTCTGCGGTGTTAGAACATTTAGCGATTACTGCTTTTTTAAATTTTGCTCTGGTTCCATTTGTGGCTTTGAGGGCTTAAATATAGAATTTTTGTACTTTTTCTCACTGAAAATTTTGACTCCAAGTACAGTCTTGCGTTCCTTAAGCAAGTGGTGCGCCTTTCAACAAGTCAAAGTGAACTCGAAACCAAATGGGCTCTCTGGATCAAACCTATTCGCCAAAGATGAATCCAAATGGATAACGAATTATAATCTAAGGTGTTCTTTTGTAGTCAAAAGGTCGCATTGATCCACCGAAATAGTATTTGTTAGTGCGTTGGTTTATGGTTCGGTCATCTACACCTCTTAGATTGCGCTTCAGAAGGAGGATCTCAGAGCATGGCTAATACTTTTGTCTTCTTTATTCATAGATGGCAACAACGTAAACTGGAAGCAATTAATGTACAATTAGTAACTGGTATGGAGGCTTAATCAAAGGAGTTCAAAAGCAAAAACAGACATTGAACATAGTTTGCACTGGAGTCCATCTCTGTACAAGATTACACATTTAGGTGCAACGTGCTTAGGCTGGTTACAAAAAACTGATCTCATTTTAAAAAAAACGCCTTGGTTTGAAGTTCATTGAAACATGCCGGAACAATCAAAATCGTCAACAATATTACTTTTCAGCGGTTCGTTATCAATATATGTCTTGTAAATTCGAAAAGTAAATGAATACCTTTTCCAGAGAAGAGGATCAAAAGAAAAAGTAGAAATTGACAAAAAGCGAAGTCGAATCCTTATTTTGAAAAAAATTAGGTTTGTTTTAGTGACGGCATAATATGAGCACTCGAAAAAAAAACATTTACATGAAAGTGAAACTGCGTGAGATTTTCGAGTAAGTTAGCCCAGAAGAAATGCACCGAATTTGGCGCATCAGTTCCCACCCTGGCTGTTTCAAAGTGTCCATAAGTCACGATTTGTTGTAAAAATCAAATACCAATCAAACGTGAATACTGTCGTGTCGGACATAGCGACAAATATCCACTTCATGCTTACTTTTCATGGTAGGCTTGCAACATCAACAGCCATGCACACCCATTCCTTATGATCTATCATAGAATTTTTGACACTATGTGTTGCAACAACTATTATTGCCAATGTTTCCAGGCAGCTAACTGATGCACAGTGTCTAAGTCAACTTTTCGCAGCATTGATTATTCGCTAGTCACCCGATGTATAATTGAGTAAACACTATCTTTAAAAAGTACTTCATCAGTATACTAATTCAATGAATATTCAAAGCCATTGTTTTGGAACTCTAAAAAAGATTAAATATCTATCTAATATGTCCCAATCACATGGGTTATGTCATGTTAAAATCGCTTCAAATTGTCATTATGCTATTTTTTTGCAATCGAAACCATCGTTTCAAAATTAGGCTGCAATGGAGATGAGTAGTATAGGTTTCCATCAATTGACTGCTGCGAGAGATAGTTCAGTATTCTTTGGACGTTATAGTACCATCGAATGCAAACTTGCCAAGGCACTTAGTACAACTCTAGACTAAGAATGCTATGGTCGCTAATTGAAAAATTCGGACTTTGATTAACTGGCAAGCTTGAATAGTTACGCAAGACATGCGAACAACTGTTCGATCAAACGATTTAATGGCACTGGCGACTTGTTTTAGCAATAATAAGCAAACTTAAAGATCTAAACAGGGTGTTACTGTTGTTCGTAATTATTAGAGTGACTATAGACTTAAATGTTATACAAATCATAGAGCGTTTGTAGGGGATAGAGCACCTGTTAATAAACACAGAAGTCCAGAGCAGGAAGCATTTTGACTTCTACATCAAGGCCACAGGCTGCAATCCAGCGCTAAGCTGGCATCAAGGCTTCTTACACACCAAGAAACCAAGTCACTGATTCCCAAGGACTTAGTTTAAAGATAAATGGCTAAAGGCTAGTTTACGAGGTGCAAACATCAATGCAGAGTACCAAAAAAAGTGGATTACCTGAGACGTCAATAAAGTAATACTCAGTTTATGTTATGCAGGATGATGGAGGATCATCTAAAACTGATGTCGTTGCATGCAAGATTTTTTCGTCACCTGCCGTTCGCCAGATTTATTTGTCTTATTTCAGTTAAACTTAAGCATTTTAGTGATTTTTACTCACCGTTGTATTATCAATCAGCCCACCATCATGTGGAACTACGCGAGCAGGTGCGGGGCTGGGCGACGCACTCGCCACCGATGGGTTGAGGGACCCGTTCAAATCTGGTGTGGACGAGAGGAAAGCTGCAGTGGAAACCTCGTCGGTGAGTTCGTAGTCAGTATTTTGTGGTGAAGGTGTTCGTCGATAGAACCTCCGTGGAGGCAGCGCCGGTTTCGTGGACAACTGCAGGGTGCCCTGCTGGTCGGACGAAACTTCGCCGCCAACCGCCGTGTCGCCATTACGCTCTGCGGGTGGTGGTGGTGGTTCGGGCGCGACATGGAGCTGCTCAGGGGTGTCTGGGGCTGGACTTGGATTGCAGCCCGTGTTGGGATCTGTTGTCGAAGACGAGGCAAGACTGTACCGCTAAAAATAGTGCATGATGGTTTCAGCATAAGAGTAGTGAAAAGGCGATAAAAAGGCCGCAAATTAAAGCTATGGCAACATAAAGTTGTTGTGGAAACTCTAAGTTTAAAGCTGAAAAACAAAGTAACAATAAGAAACATTTCATCCAAGTTAGAAAATGGTATCCATAATGAATATAAGCACAATTATAGCCATGTGAGCTCATAAATTTCAGTGCGTAGATATCTGGTGCCTCACTAACTAAAAAAAAGAACTTCGGTCGATACGAGTTGCCTTACTGAGTGCGATTATTGGCTGTCCTCAAACTGCAGGCCGATCGAACAGCAGTTGCATCTACCCCATAGCCACAAATGGATGCCGAATCAAGCCCAAAAGTCATGTGGTGTTACTATTAAAAGGGCCTAAAATGCCAATTAAGGGCACAGAAATCTATTTGAAAGCTCCCTCGGTGGCTGGATATGCGGGCAGCCGTTTAGAACAAATCTGTTATTAATGGAAAGATCTGGTGTTGGAAAAATACCTGAAAAACATCCTATTTTTTGCTACGCAACTTCTCAGTCAACTCCCATTGTTATTTGACTTTAGGGTGAAATTTCACACAAATAGGTTTTGACAAACAAACAAAAGTTTAAGTCCTCTGTTTAGTGTAAAATCCGAGGGTGCAAATCATAAGATAACCAGGTAGTATTGCGGCTTAAAATAAACAGTCCAACCAAGCACGCCTAATAGGTAGTTAAAATGCAAACTAGTTTGCACATTTCTAGTCCACTAAAGTTGATTAGCGTGAAATACCAATGTGATGTCCATGATGCCATCTAAACGCGATTTAGGGTACCATAGATAGCGTAAGACGTTCATTAGCTATGCACCAACTGCCCAAATAAATTCTATGGAGTCTACATTTAAAGCCGACCCGGACGAGGTCATTAGGGCTCTGGTAACTCGTGGGACGATGTAATTCACTTCATGGAATCGAGGAACGAAGTAGGGAATAGAAAATGACGAGAGTCCAAAGGTTTTCGGACCATAAAAATGGCTCACCCTCGTAAAACCACCGTCGTCTTGCTCCAACTGTCGCATTGTGTTTTCAACCTCTTCCAGGTGGCGAAGAAGACAATTGAGATCATTTTCAGCAGTTGCCTCTAAATAATAAAAATAACTGATTGTACAGATGATTTCCTAGTTGAATGTGAGACTTAGGTAATATTGTGATGACATGCCACCTACGAATAATTGCCGACATCTGACCAAAAGTTGTTAAAATTTGTGATCTACGGGCAACAGACTTACACTGGTTAAAGGAGTAGCAGCCGATCAACGTTAAGGCACATTTAGAGATTTAAAGAAAAAATTATCCATGATACCACTCTTAGACCAATTTAAAGTAAAGTTGTGAAGACCAGAGTTTTGAAAAGTTTAGTAAAATAAAATTTAAATCTATTGTTTTAGCTTCTGAGAAAGCCAAAAAAACATTGTGGAGAAGGCATGTTCCAAAGACCTTAAATGAGCTCGCCAGGCCCCTCTCCAAGCTTTCACCTTATGACATCACAGGATGTAAACTAGGTATCTTTCCGATTGCCAAAGAAACTTCTAGGATCAAGTTTCTAGTAAAATAAATTACAAGGGAGGGCCTTTTTAGCGTGTCAAATCAGGATTGAGATGATGTCAGTTTGTATCTGAGGATATGATTAGTAGAGGGACGTTCGCGGGTAGGCGAGTCACAAGCAGGGTTTCGAACTCGGCTGTGGAAGTCGCCTGTGGGCATGCGCATTTGCTTATCCAGAGAACTTGAGAACATGGGAGTTGGGATGCGCGGGCAGTTTTACTTAAACTAGAGGCATTTATTTTGTAGATCCTGGCAAAAGGACACATACCATTATCTGAAGCTAATGCTAATAATCACATTAAACTGGGTTTGTGAAGAGAACAGCTTCAGTAATAATTATGGTTGGCGAATGTACAAACGCGCACGTTTTTCCTTCAACAGAAAAAATACAAAAGTCTTTTAATATATAATTTATAAGTCTTTGAAATAGCAAAATTGCATAGCGGTGATCGCTTGGCTTCAATTTACAGAGAAAAACCTGTTTTCTTAAAATGCAATCTATTTTGCCAATTTTTGTACAAACTGCAATGCGCAACAAAATTGTATTAAAGCAAGCACAAGACAGCCTTCTAGACCCTGGATTGCTCAAACCATCGAGAGATTGGTTAAAGCCAAGAAAGGAAGATCTTGACAAGGGATGAAACTGGTCTTTTTTTATCAAGCACTACTGCCGTTTTCTTGCGTGGCAGCGTTTGCAATAAACCAATCGGGGAAGGGAAAATCAAGCACGATGGGAATGAACGCAATCACCTCTTGATGAAGAGTGGCAAGTTCAAAGCAGTGCAAAAGGATGGTTAGTCGGATGATAGCGGAAAAAATGACTGATGAAAAGATAGCCACTGAGGGTACTTAGAGTAATGGGCTAAAAGACATACCTCGTAGAGTGAGAAAGTGTTCCTCAACCGTGGCGTCTGGAAAAGTGGGAAACGATTGTAGTTATGCGAACTTAAAAAAAATGATCTTGAGCATCATCGTTGTACGACATCGATCACTTAATTAGGGCGAATAATCCTTGTGGATTAAAATGAGCCCTCTTAAGCCATGTAATTGGAGAGATTAGGAGTTTCTACATTACCTTTCTGTTACTAAGTAAGCCAAATGTTACATCAACTGTTTTTGTAAATTAACCTGTTAAAATGTACGACGAACATGTTTCTCAACTTCATTTTCTAATTGATTAAAAAAACACAAGGGGCTTTTTTACAATACTAATAACTTGCAAAACAAATCAATCCAGTTAGAGTTTTGATTTAAGAGAGATGCATCCGTAAATGATGACCCAATAAATCAATTGCGAAATTCGTAATTAGATTAAAGAAATGCCCTAAACTAAGGCATACTTTGATAAGCTCGATTGTTTGGTTCTTTATTAGCCTTATTCATTACAAGATTCTTTGTTAAACTTCCCCCTGTCCAACCTAATGATCTACATTAGGGCTTGAAGTTTCTGCTATTTGACCATCCAGCAGAAATTGCGATGGCCAGCAAGCCAAATTACAGGAAACACATTATGCGTTGCACTCGGCTGTTCATAGTGCACGTACAGATTAGCATCTGCAGCCTTTGAGATCACACGTGAGATGTTAGCGTTGGGTCCAATGGCAGCTTAGAGACCTCTACATGTGCAGCGGAACCTCTACATATGCACCTGATTACAAGCCCAAGTATTTCTTCCAGGTGGCCCTTTCGGCTGCTAATGCTCAATCAGATAAAGTGTTAGTTAAATATATGCTGCGATTTTTGTTTAAACGTAATATTTTTCTTTGAAATTGGTAAAAAAATTGGGAGCACTTTACATTTAGCTGCATTTTTTGGGATCAAAATAAGGAAAAAAATGCTGAAACAGTAGTGACACGGGATCAAAAGACTTAAGCTGTTACTGGGCCTTCTATTTAGAAATTAGTCGAATCAGAAAACGCCATTTGAACGTCTTTTTAACCTCATTAACCTTACGCCTTTCCATTGTCGCTAATTTGTACGCGTCGGCCTCAGTGAAGGTACTGCGGATAAATGCCAGACCAGAATATGCATTGGCTAAATAAAGCACCCGACAGTCAGCCCGTGCAAATCCATGTTTACGTGAGTGTCCGTGTTTATGCAATACCTCGTCTGCGAATAATTACATAACCTGAAGGTGCACGAGACGCGATTAAATACTTGTGGCTAACTATATTTTCAAATAGGTGAGGTACCTTTAACGATGAAAACCACTGTTGTTGGGCTTAAAAACTGTACAACCATGGCCTTTTCCAGTGCACTCCAGCTCGAGAGAGACGTGTTAGCCACTCGGATCACCGAACCAGGGGCCCATGAAATTCAGGACCAAAACATAATAGCCATTTGCAATAACAGTTGAAGCATGAGGAGCTAATGCTGACAGAGTTAGGTAAATCAGAAGAACTAAAAGTGACATTTTTATAAAACATGATAGAAGTAAGCCCAAAGTGATCCGTTCAAGATACAATTTGAAACTATTATACCAGTATGTAGTCTTGGTAATCATCTTATAGGTAAATTTGTCAGTTATACAAAAATGAATATATGAAATCTTCCGTTATAAAAACAAAAGGCACTCTCCCTGTAAAAAGAACAAATGAATTTGAAAGTGTTATAAATTATCATAAGCCTTTTTAAAACAACCGTTTAAAACAAAGAATACACGAGTCGAAGTCCTTTGTGCCAGCTTTTCTGAAAAATCAAATGCTGTGTAGTTTTATCTCAAAGCAGGTTCTTCCGTGTGCAGCAAAGGAGGACACTGGTTAGATCACTGAGGAGCATTTAATGGTCAGATTCAGGCCCTGCTTGCATCGTAAATATTTACTTTATGCACTTGATAAACCCACTTATTTTTTTAAATTTACTCTGCAAACGATATCGCGTTTGACGAACTGTCTATCCCTAAAAAGTCACCAGAATTTATAATCGCAGACTTGAAATTCTAAGAAATGGTATACTGCGTTTTAAGTGAATACCCAAAATTGGGTGAGGTTTTGACGTCATGTGCAGAGATTCTTTCATGTCTTTTCGAAGTCAATGCCTGGGGTATTCATTTCCGTCAATCTACTTCTGAAAAATGTGACATGAAATTCTCAAACCGAGGCCAAAGTAAGGATGTCCTGATGAGCGTGTGGAATTTAAAGCTGGAATTGACAGCACTGGGGAAATGGTTTTTGCTTTTCAGTAGGCCATTGTAGCGGCGAATGCACTGATTAAAGTATTAGTGTCAGGCTGCGTCACAGGTCTTCACATTTTTCGAGAGGATGAATTTTGCAGTGTCAAAAGGTTCGTATATTTTACGACGTGACAGCTACTCCTTACTTTACCATACGCACAAGTAAGCTTAATAAAAAAAACATTAGTCGGGTCAACACAGAATTGCAGTACAGCATGCATTCCTGATAGGACATAATTTAAATATACGGGATTTATGTCGTCTCATTATTTAAACATGTGACTCCAGTAAAACTAATTATGTTTGTAGAAACTCCAGGCATGGAATACAGCAGCAAAGATGTCGATGGAGGTAATTTTCGTTTTGAAAACATTGATTTCCCCTTAAACAAATGTTTACCTTGGCAACTGAGGGGATTAAAGGAGGCACGTATGCTCTGTGTGAAACTATTGGTTTGACAGGCCTCGGAAGCGTGGCGAGGGGACTCGTCGCAGCGCGATCGAGGGGGTCTCTCGGGGGGCGATTGAGGAGGGCCGGGCGGCGAGAGGCGTGCGCCTCTGCCCGGCGGCAGGGGAGGCGGAGTCGGGCTGTCCAGGATCTGGGCCACGCGCCACGGCGAAGGCGAACTGGCCGGGGTGGCGCGGGTCAGGTGGTGCGGTCCCGAGTAAGACGATTTGGGTTTGAGCCGATTCGAGGTGGTGACGGCGGCGGCGGCCGTGGCGGCGGAGGGACATTTCCGCTCGAGACCCTGTTAAATGTTATAAAAAGAAACCTGGGTCCCGGATTCTGTTTTCTCCACAGGAAAGTGCAATCAATGTCGGAGATTGTGGGGCTTGTTACACGCGAAACATCTTCGTATGCAGCGTGACTACTATACCTTTAACGTATCACGCACTCACAGAACGTAAATACAAGTGTGGCTGAGTATGGCAATTTACATTTCTTTAGTGGCTGAACCATACTTTTGAGTTCTGGGCACTTAAAGCAGCGAATTCACTTTCAAATGGAAAAACGCACATTCTTTCCCGAGCCACCAAAAAGCCTTAAGAAAATAGTGAAAGCAACAAAGACAATAGTTAAAATTTAAAATAGTTTATTATGAAGTTCAAAACAAATACTATGCGAGATGGAAGGTGCTAAATTGAAACATAAATACCTTCGTTAACACTGCTCATGATAGAATTTGAGGACCCCACCGGCCAACGAACTCCTCTTTAAAAAAGAGACATAAAGCTATTCAGTTGCCAACACATTCTTCGAAAAGACACCTTTAATGCTTGGGCGACACGCAGACTACATATTACATTAATGAGAATGGAGTACATAATTTAAGTAGGTGATAACTTATTCTTCCTTGGCCACTACAACTTGACGTCAATTCTAGAAAGCTGAAAACACCCATTTACGAGGACTTTGTGAATTAATTACCGAAATTAGTTACACACATAGATTTTATAGTAGGTGATAATCACGACCGCCTATTCAGAGCCTACTAGGTGACAATGAATGACAATCTGAGGAGAATTTTTAAACAAATCACTGCTAGGCGAATGCGTGAGCTCGTCAGGCTGATCCAGTTAGAAAGGCATCGTGTTCCCATACTTTACAATTATTCAGCTCTAAGAGTGGCCTGCTAGGCTAAACCAAACGATGTTGATGATTGCGGCCCTTTCAGCACCCAGCGGGAATCAGCGCGTCTTCAAAAAGAGGACAAGTCGGTTATAGGTCAACGTCTGTGTGCTGTACTTTATTACCTACGCGGTGGGAAAGGAACATTAGCCTCTGGTGAAAATGTCATAAAGTAGAACGAATCAAAATTTTTAACAGGACACAAACGTCATGTTTTTGAATGAAATCAACTGATGAGAACCTAGTAATTTCTAAAACCATAGCTTACAGTCAAACATTTTCTTTGAAACAATGAGCCAACAAACTTTTCGATCATTACTCCCTTAACACCCACTAGAAACCTAGCTGATTTTGCATGTAAACTGAAATGTTTGAATTTCTGCCCGCAAGTTCATCGCAATTTGGTGCCACAAGGTAACTATGAATGCAAAATCAAGACGCCATTTAGTACATTTCAAGGCTAAAACTGGACATTTTTCCACAAATTCGTAGTGAATCACATGTGGATTATGCTTGATTTGATGCTTGCACAAAATGGCTTTGCTAATGTGCTGGCAAGATAGCAATTTCGGCATCCACAAATAGATGGCGTCATCGGTGTTTTGAAGGACTTTTGCCAGTGTAATGACTCTTTCCTTTTAAAACATGATAGATGTCGCTTTTCCCATACTTTGTGTACATACGTTAATGAAAAAATTGACTCTTTCGACATATTTTTCTTCGTTATCATTGTCAAGGCATGGAGACTGCACTGGTTCACAAAGAGGCGCGTGAGGTTTGGTGTAAATTGCTTAGAAAAAACGCACGTGTCAAAATAAGTATGCAAGATTCCGTTCTGAAGATTGTTTCGCCTAGAATGACAAATTTTACAGTTTTGTTGGCAAATGGATGATGACGAACTCAAAGCCACAACTGAAACAGATTGTTATTTAAGTGTCAGGAGACTGCAGAGGTTACGTTGTGCATAGGACAGAGCATTTTATGCCACTTATTCTACCTTAGGCAATACAGGAAGCTCGATATTTGGGTTCCGCAGGAATTAAAGGGATTTCATTTAGCATGATGAGTTAATATTCGTAAAGCGCATCCAAAGCCAATCGTTTCGCCTTGCAAACAAATCATCACTAATGATGAAGAACTTGATAGGCTGCAGCAAAATTAATCACAGGGACTGCTGGATCGCCACAAAGAAAAAATCTGTCAATTCAGTGTGACAAAAAAGGTGCTTTAGGAAGTTAAACGACAAATTCCGATGTTTGCTACCAACAACAAAATTACAGCCAAACCTAGCAGCAATGCAAAGAAGCGCCATGATAAATAACTATTGCAGTAGCACAAAACCAGTTCCAGTGGGCTAAGCAACTATTTCATTACTGTGGGAACTATATTCGTTTGAATTTAAAATCAGGAATTTTAAAAGACAGCTACCTTAAGTTCTGAATAAAAAAATGAAGTCATTAACAGGGAGTGTAAAAATGTCAGGATCAATGTATTTATGTAGGGAAAGGTCTCAAGTAAGGCGATCTGCTTGCGTAAATTAGAACTTGATGAAGTTCATTAATTAGCACGCAGGGTTGGCCAATAAAGACGAACAGAAGTAGCTCCGATTCGATCTGTACGCACACGTCATTTCATTGTACACTTCGGTGCCATCCATACTCGGTGACATGAATGCGCAATTGCGTTATGCTTTAGTGTGCGATGAATCAACGTTTTCAGCTTCGAGCGCATTCCATGCTAATTTGGGTCCCAAGACACTGACTCCACCCCCACAAGCTTCATTGCGACGTGAGGAACCTACCTATTGTCGTTGGAATTGAGAATGGGTAAAAATCAGCTGACTGAATGTTAGCATTCTATGTTTTCAGGTGACACATACTGTAGAAAAATCCAAACCCTCCATTGCTAGTGTTACCTGTTAGATCCCCATGGTCCGACCATCAGGGCTGTCATAGACTATTTGCTGTAGGCAATTTTTGTGTCATTTAAATTAGTTTAAGTTGGCTTCCTTACTCACTCACGCTTCTTTAAAAATTTCGTGGTTGACCAAATTGACCATCAAGTAACGCTTGTTGAATTCTGTAACTTCGACACACTAGTGATGCAGCCGATTCCGTCAAATGTCAATCTCTTGGGCACTGAATTCGAACACACATCGACCGATGACTTCTGGTGGGTGACGCGACGTTGATGGCAGCATTGGTCGTGTTGGCCATCAAGCCGACTTGGTATTTCCCCACGCCCATTTTTGCCATTCAGACAATTTACACTCCAAAGTCTATTTCCACTCATTTAAATGTAGCGTACCGCATCACATTTCAATGAAGTGACGCTTAATTAAAATACCAGTTACATAATTTAGGAAGTGCTCAGCACAATTATGGACAGTTTCGTTGATAAATATTTGGTGAGAATGAAACTGAGGAAGACATTTGAACAGGCGGTTTCGTTGTTAAGGGCGGGTCTGCTTTTGTATTTACTAAGTGTAGAAGCGCTGAGTCTGACTGAGATAAACAATGGTCAGGATTTAGCGTGCAATTCAAGTTACACGGCATGCCCGTAGATCGTGATCCAAACGAGGATGAGGTGAACAGTAAGATAAGCCGGTTCAACCTGCTAAATAATATTTGGTGCAGGGACATATGGTAGCTGGTGGGATTTGTCCAGCTGAAATACAATTTAAATGGCATTTATGTAATGGATTTGAAGCCAATGGTACACAGCTGCAAGTTCTCATGTTTCAAGAAGTAGTAGATATTATTGATGTGATGATACTCGCTATTTCGTTGTTATGACTTCATATTTGATAAATGCATAAGATTCAGTTCTTGTCTCCACACAGCGTTAATCGCAAAACCTCGAAATAAAATTATCAATTAGAAACTTTTATTTAAATGAAACAACCACGCTGTTGGAAGACTAGTTGCGTATAAATGGGCTGATAAGTTCCAGCATTTTGCTTTAACCGTCTCAAATTCGACACCGTAGTGGATACTGCGAGACTACTGGGACAGTGATGGACATATTCCACATTTGGAGTTAGTGCTTTGTGAACAGACTGCCCTCGCGTAACACGATGGAAGCATCTTGAAGCTGGTGTACTTGTATTTACATGGAGCATATTTGTCTATGTTTACGAATTCAGCTTTTTCATAACCGCAATGTTAGTTTAAACAGCTTGACAGCCATCATCATTTTCATGGCGACACCAGATTTAAAGCTCCGAAGTGGAGTGATGTATGCAAGACTACGAATGACAATCAGTTTTAAAAAAAACGCATAAACAAGCCTTTAAAGTTGGTTGAACATACCTTTTACTTATTATTAAACGTTTTGCATTGCTTAAAATTTTCCCAAAAGATTTACCGCTTTTTGGTTACCGATTAGGCTAGAAGCGCCGTGTTCAGTTTTCAGAATACAACCGATTTATGGCACAATAAAAATGCTTCATTAGAGTGCGCCTGACTGCGCCGACAGAAACATAGACGATGTGTGCGTGTGTGTATGTGTTTCCGATGCACAACTAAATTCACACGTGTAATAATTTGGCGATGGCGACGGCATAATGGATCTTCATTCACTGTTCCAAATGAGCTCGTGTTCAGTATTCCGCTTAAAACTGTGATATTCTGTTAACTTGTTGTCTGGTAGTTAAAAACAGTACACTTACAGGGCAATAGGGTTCAACGAACTACCCAATATCGTGACCCAGGTTCATTTGCTAATTTACACTGGTGAATATCTTCACCTTAGAAGTAACCGTACCTTGGTGAGTAAAGCCTTTAGAAAATTATATACAAATGCCACATATGTTGCTCAATGGACTGATCATTTAAACTAAATGTATGGTTCGGTAAAATGAGACCTTTAATATTTGGGTGTCAATCGTTGACACCACCCAACTGAGCATAAATCTTAGGAACTGTCGATCTAATGGTAACGGTTTAGTTTACTTAAAATGACGTATGTTTTGAAAAGGACCATTTTCAAGCAGTGTAGGTCTGAATGTGACCCAATACATCATCAATGCGACTTTATGTCACGGTGCTGAATGCTGATGACTGTTTCTAGGTATAAAGGCAAACTTTGAGACTAAACTACGTGTTAGTTTCCGAAGATATGG